CTCTCTCTCTCTCCGTTTGTCACTCTAATATATGTAGATAAATAAAGTTAAATAAAAATAATTATTAAAAATAAATCACACTACCTTGTAGGAATGTATGCCCATTAAAATAATTTTTAAAAGAACTAAAAAAATAAATAAAAGAGAAGTGTTTAAAAATTTGGACGTAGATGAGGATAAGGCAGACATAGATGGTCTGGGGTCTGGTAACGGTGGAAGTCGAGTGGTAAAGATGTGACCATCTTTCGATTTAGGTTTTTATTCTTTTCTTCATTAAGATCAACTCATTTTATTTCCCATAATGATTGTAGTATAGATAAAATCGTCATTTTTAAAAAAGAATTATTTAATTTTATTCATTCATTCATTTTAATTTGAACAGAGACAGAGAGAGAGGTAAAGTAAGAAAGCAGGCCACCAGGTCTGGGACCCGAACAGAGCCTAAATCACCACGCCACCTGTTGGCCCTCGTTTCTTCGTTTTTTTAGTTAGTTTGTTTGTTTTCTTTCTAACTTGCTTCACTCAGTAACAGTTTTTAAAAGTTGTTTATTTAGGGGCCAGCAGTTCGTGTAATGGCTATGTCGCTGGACTCTCATGTAGTCAACTGTGGTTTGAGTCCCGGACCCGGTGGCTTAAACTCACCCCAGGCGTGTGTTCGTGCGTGCCCAAGATCCTGAGAGGAGAATGGAGGAGAAGGGATTGCGGTGTGGCCATCCTCCCTGGGGAGTGATTTCTCGCTTTCTGTCTCTGTGTTTCTATCTTTCTGACGAGTGCACGCACCCTATAACAAAAACCTCTCAAAAAGAAAAGTTTATTTATGTAATTTTTATTAAAAAAATTTTTTTAGCCCATATCTTCATTTTTTTATTTCACCTGTTGTTATTTTTACATTTTTCCACATTTACTTTATTATTTATTTATTTTTTATTAAGAATATTACCTTTTACTTTTCTGCAGGTAAATTTTCTGTATCTTCAGCATTTTCTGCTCAAAATTAAAAGAACAAAGCAATCTCAAAATTTAGAACTGGATCACCTGGCTCTTTCCTTCTTATCTCTCCCCAGTTCAAAATGTTTGTATCTTTTAATGGCCAGCATCCTCTTGGATTTGCAGTTCAGTTCAACACACTCAAGCCTTAGGACCATCTTCTTAGTGGTTTTAGCCTTCTTCCGGAAAATTGGCTTCGTCTGCCCACCATAGCCACTCTGCTTCCGGTCGTAGCGCCTCTTCCCTTGAGCATACAGGGAATCCTTGCCCTGTACTGGGTCACTTTGTGAGGGTGATAACTTGCCACATTTCTTATAGATAGTCCTTCGAGTTTTAGGTACATTGACCATCTTATCTTGGTAGTCTAGCTATCTTCACGTTGAGAATGAGAAGTTGGCGTGCACAACCCTCGCCTCGTGCCACTCACGCCTGACAGGACACAAACATTTATTTTACATATAAAAAATTTTTTGCTCATACTCTATAGTTCTTGACAGTTAATAAACTTTCAAAATTTCAAAATACTGAATTTTAAAGATAATGTTCAGTATATTTTTTATAATTTTGTATGATTTTGTGACTATAACAATGGAAACAATATGGTTTTAAATATTTTTGAGAAAATATTTACATGTCAGCCATTCAAATTGTTGAAAAGCAACACCCAGCACACTAGTCACACATAAACCCTCTCAATTCAGTCCTGCCTACCAAGTACTCTGTGCTATACCATCTGCTAGCAAAGATCACTTTCTTTTTCTTCCTTCAAGGTCTCTCTCAGGATAATCCTCTGGTGTGGTTGCTCTTTTGCGATCTCTACTGATTACAGTGCTCGGCTGGAAAAGTCCAGGTTATTTTATGTTAGAAATTCTTTCCTATATCTTCTCTAATCGTCTCTGCCAGGCAGTAGTATTTATGGTGCCAGGCCATCTTTCTAAGAGCTTCTGATGGCTTACTTGAGATCCACCTTAGTTCCATAGCTTTCTGATTGATCTTCAGATATGACATTCCAGTCAAAGCCCTGTCCAATAATGAGTATTTCCAATTTCTGATTCAGTGCAAGAAGCATTATTGAACTTATGCAAAGAACCCTTCTGCATATCTTCATTTTTTAATGAAATACGATTTTTTTTTTTAAAGGTTTTTGCTATAGGGAGTGTGTGCTTGCCAGACAGATAGAGAGAGACAGAGAGACAGAAAGCGAGAAATCACCCCCCAGGGGGGATGGTCACGCCGCAATCCCCTCTCCTCCATTCTCCTCTTGGGATCTTGGGCACGCACGTACATGTGCCCGGGATGAGTTTAAGCCACCGGGTTCGGGACTCCAACCACGGGCGACTACATGGGAGTCCAGCAACATAGACATTATGCTACCTATTTGTCCCATGAAATACTACTTTGAAAATTAATTTGGACATGTGCATTAGCCATGTTCAGTATTTTTTAAAAAGAATTATTCACCTTTATTTATTTTAAGATTTATTTAATTCTATTTGTTGTTATTATTTTTTAATTTGTTCAGAGAGAGAGAGAGGGAAAGTGTGAAAGCAAGCCACCAGGTCCGGGACTTGAACCACGGTTGGCGATGTGGAATTCTGCACCTTTAACCACCTGCCAACCTCTTTTTTATTTATTTTAATTTGACTAGAGAGGAACAGTGGGAGAGTGAGTGAGTGAGAGAGAGAGAGAGAGAGAGAAAGCAAGCCGCCAGGTCCAGGAGTCAAAGCATGGTCAACCATGTGAGAATCCCACACCCTTACCCATCATGCCACCACCCATTCCCCCATTTGCTGTAATCTTAAGCCAAAAATTTGCTTGACTTGTTTCCTGAATTATCAAATTAGTTATGGCTTATTCTGAACTTGGGTTTGTCTTTGGATTTGATTTTAAACCTCTGAGTCTTTTTTTTTTTTTTAAGAATTATTTTTAAACTAATTTTATTTCTCCATTTATTTATTTATATATTTAAATTTGACCAAAGAGGAATAGAGTGAGAGAGATAAAAAGAAGGTGAGAAAGTAAGCCACCAGGTCTGGGGCTCTAACTGTGGTCAGCCATGTGGGAGTCCTGGGCCCTTCACCACCACGCCACCTTCCGGTTACATTAAATATAGTTGAACTTAAGTGCATTATGTCATAGACAGTGACCCTAAACTACCTTGATAGCTTTATTTTGGTTAAAACTTCCTTTAACACCAAACTATAGTAGTCACTTACACATCTAATGTCTTGGTTTTTCATCTGGGCATATAAAAATAATACTCACAGAAGGAGAGATACGGACACAGTGGTTCTTACCTCTGGAGAGGTGGAGTTGCCTGAAACTGAGAGACTTAGAAAGACAGAAATGAATGAGGCAGAATTGTCTTATTCCTTTTATGGTTTTTTTTATTCCCAACCTCAGGAGGAATCTGGGAGAACTTAATGAGAGTTAAGTAAGAATCAGAAAAAAAAAGTTGGAATACCAGATTTGTGAGGGATATTAAAGAAGTTGGAATCTTATCTTGGAAGAAAGCAAGCATTGTTGGTCTCTTATCCTTGAAGGATTTAAAGGGGGAAGGAGGTAACATTTTTTTGAGGTATTACTAGGTGCTTTGTAAGGGTATTTACGTTCCTTAGTATGTTAAGTGTTCCACATAGGAAAGAAATTAAAAAATCAACTTTTATTGACCTTGAATAGGACTTCTTTCGGCATTTGTTAGATTGAGATCTTTAGAAGCTTTTGTGGGGAGGGTGACCGGATGGGAAGGGGTCAAGTTAGATAAATGCAGCTCTCTTCCTAAATGCAAAAAGTCATTCACAAGCTCTCTTGCAAATGTCTTATTTTGTCCTAGAATTCCATTTATCACTGATTTGTTTTCTTAGCTCATGAATTTCCCTGTTTGCCAAAGCAAGTAGCGTGGATTCTGGCTACAAGCAAGGTTTTCATGTACCCGGAGCTCCTTCCAGTGTGTGCCCTGAAGGCAAACAATCCCCAGGACAAGATCTTCTTCACCAAGGCAGAGGACAAGTAAGTCTTTACTGTGGGGGCTCAAAAGTACAGGCCGTCCCAAGGAAAGTCAGGGTTCTATGAGAAGATCAGGGGAAAGGCGTGTAACGACAGAGACACAAAAGACAAAAAGGAAAGTGGCATGTGTCTGTAGCATGTGCTTGTGCCAGCAGGGCCAAAAGCTGCTCTTTTGAGGAAGGGCAAACATATTTTTAAAACACTTTGTTTATTTAATGCCGTAGGGCACAAGTGCACTAGAGAGAGACACACCCACATAGAGAACCCTGCAGCTGGACTTGGTCACACTGCAGTCCTTTCCCCTCAGATTCTCTACCATCAGGATTTGGGGCATACACACACATGTGCTCAACATGTTCTTCAAACTACCAGGATCGGGTTCAAAGTGCAGTTGGCCATTTGGGATCTGGCTTTCTATGTAATATCTTTCAGAAGTTGTTTGTTGTTGTTGTCAGAAGATACATGCACTTGTCTGAGGAGGGAGAAAGCACCCCTATTGGGGTGTGGACGTGCAGCAGTTCCCTCTCCTCTATCTCATCATCCCTTGGGCATTCATGCATGCTCGTGGGCCCAGAGTGGTTTGTCAGCCCCTTGGGCCAGAATTCTAACTGTGATGGGCAATGTGTTATCTGATTCCCATGACCTTAGGCTATGGCTGGCCCTTGAAATTGCTTTTTATTCTATAATGTTGTTTTTTCTTTAACTATGTTATCTTTTTTCTTTTAATAATTATTTATTTTATTTTATGTTAGCTATGTTATCTTTAAAGGCAATATTTCATGGCCCTATAGGTAGTTCTTTTATTGGTCTTTATTTTTCTCCTGGTTTGCTATTTTAAGTGAGGCTTCACTAGGGATCTTAGTGCATAGATCAATGTAAATTTTTTCAGTTTATCTCTTTGGTTAAATTACTAAGAATGAGATTATTCAGAAAAGATTCACAACCTTTTTTTCGTGGGAGAGGAGTTTTTTTGGTATAGGGGGCGTGTGCTCGCTGAGAGACAGACTGCTAGAAATTACCCCCCGGGGGGATAGCCATGCCAGAATCCCTTCTCCATTCTCCTCTTGGGGTTTTTGGCATGCATACACATGCACCCGGTGTAAGTTTTAAGCCACCTGGTCAAGGCCTTGAACTGCAGTTGACTACATGGGAAGTCCAGCGACATAACTGCTGCTCCATCCACTGGTCCCAATTTATGAACATGTTTTGTGACTCTTAATGTGTATTGCCAAACTGCCATCAGCAAATATATGAGTATGTAACTGTAGTTGTATGTTATGGTGGTGGTAGTGTTAGGTCTAATTTCATTTATCTAGCATGGTACCTATTCATTTTATAGATACAAATATTTTTTAATCTTATTGCAATAGGGCATGTGCACTTGTAGGAGAAAGATACATGGGGGGGGGCTGAAAAATTGCCCCCCTGGGGGGCTGGCCACACCAGAGTCGTTTGTTCTCTAGTCTCCTCTTGGGATTTTGGGCTCACACACACATGCACCTGGTGTGTTTTTTGAGGCTGCCAGGGCTGGAACTCAAACTGCATTTGGCCTTGTCGGAGTCTTGCATTTGAATTGCCATACCTCCTAGTGGCACCTGATTTTATATTTTATTAGAATCATTCTGTTTCCTTTGATCTTCCTTTGAATTGTTACTGTCAGACACATTATCTGACATTAATTATTTATGGCTAGTTTTTTCTTTTTCTTTTTTTTGAGAATTTTTTGTTTGTTTCATTTGTTTCTTTGCTTTAGAGCCCGTGCGCTCGCCAGACAGACAGAGACAGAGAGACAAAAATCACCCCCCTGGAGGATGGCCACGCCACAATCCCTTCTCCTCCATTCTCCTCTCAGGATCTTGGGCACGCACACACACGCGCCCGGCGTGAGTTTAAGCCACCGGGTCCGGGACTCGAACTGCGGTCAACTACATGGGAGTCCAGCCATATAGCCGTAACGCTAACTGCTGGTCCCATTATCCCTAGTTTTTTCTGTTCCCACTTAATTGTTTCCTTTTTTTCTTTTTCTTATAAGGGAGATTTTTCTGCTATTGGGAATGTGGGCTCACCATAGAGAGAGAGAACGTGAGAGATCACCCTCTACCCGTGAGGGGGGTAACCATGCCACAATCCCTTCTCCATCAGTCTTCTCTCAGGATTTTTTTTTTTTTTTGAGCGTTTTTGCTATAGGGCGTGTGCACTGACAGACAGAGAGTGACAAAGAGACACAAAGCAAGAAATCACCCCCTAGGGAGGATGGCCATGCTGCAATCCCTTCTCTTCCATTCTCCTCTTGGGATCTTGGGCATGCACGTACACGCACCGGGGGGGATTTTTAAGCCACTGGGTCCGGGACTCGAACTACGGTTGACTACATGGGAGTCCAGCAACATAGCCATTACACTAACTGCTGGTCCCTTCTCTCAGGATTTTGGGCACGCTCGGGCATGTGCCTGGTGTGTTTCTAGTTGCCTGATCTGGGACTTGAACTATAGTCAGCCGTGTGGGAGTCCAGCACCTTAACTACTGTGCCACCTGTTGGCCTCATCTGTTTGTTTATTATTCATTGTATTGTTTTATTATTTTTTAAATGATTATTATTTAATTAACTTATTATTATTCTTCAATTTGACCAGAGAGAGAGAGAGAATGAGAAGGCAAGCCACCAAATGGTCAGCCATGTCGGAGTCAAGCACCTTAACCCCCATTCCACCTGCCTGCCCCTCCTTTTACTTATTTAGCAATCACAAAATGTCCGACATTTTCTCTTGGGTAACCATCAACTTGTACAGGAATTAGATGTAGAAACACTTGATTGTAAACGATGGAGTTTGTGTGGGGAGATTTTCTAGAAGAAAGGACTGTCAGGTGAGATTTAGTGTCATTGTCCCTTTCTCAGCCTGTTAGCTTTGGGACTGAAGCATTTTGAAGGAACCGATTTTCCTAAGCCTCTAATCAGCAAGTACCTTCTAACCTGCAAGACTGCCCACCAGCTGACGGTGAGAATCAAGAACCTCAACATGAACAGAGCCCGCGACAATATCATCAAGGTGAGTGCTTCCTGCTGCCCTCCTCACCTCCCCTGTCTGTGCCCACCCTCACTCCTCCTCTGACTCTCAGTGGGGAGGGCCTTTGAGTTTTACCTGAGACTAATTCTTCCCACCTCTGCACTAGATGAATTCCTCTGTTGACAGTGATCCATTATTTTCCTCTATAGTCTCTTCATCTTCCTGCCTTCCAGATATTTCCCCTAAAGATAAAATTGCCTATGGGACCAGCAGTTACCCTAGGCATACATTCGAAGCCACTGGGGCCAGGATTCACACTGTGGTCG